TAGAAGTCTTTCTCCCAAGAGGAAAGTGACAGAGCTGATAGAATAATAGCCAGTTATTCCTCCCAAAAATCACTGATTAGAAAACTCCCAAATCCGCCTCAACCACCACCATTTCTGTGGCACTGAGTTTAGGTCTTGGTGCAGGTAGTGGCTGCTGCCAGGACAACTACACTGCCGAGCATCCACAGGCAGTGAGGAAAAGGAGAATCAAAGTGGTCAAGCACCTGTTCAAAGATCATATAATGTGTTAATGTTGGAGTTCAGTTTGAAGTTAAAGTTTCTCCATATTAGAGTTCTGATTTGGGAGGAGATCCAAATGGTGGTGTAGGTAAACACCTAAACTGCTGCCTTCCACAACAATTTCAAAACCACAACTAAAAGACAAAACGTCTATCACCCAGAACCATGGGGAAAGCTGGCTGAGTGGAAGTTCTACAACTAGAAGGAAAGACAAAAAAGCATTCAGGGCACAAGTGATGAAAAGCTGAGGTATGAAGGTGCATGCAATCTGGGCTGGGATTGCTTTCTTCAACCCAAAGAGAGAAAAGCTCCCGATTTCTCTGAAATCCAGTTTCTGGGGAGATAAGCGAGACCCAAACTCCTATGGGGAAAAGCTGGATTATCTGCTATTGGGTGAGAAAGTGAGGGTGGCTTGCTTGCAGAGCTGCATGCAGGAATAATTGCTTGCAGTGCTGGGGCACAGGACACGGGGACACGGTCGGAAGTGCGGGGAAGGCTGGCTGGCAGCCATTGCTATTTGCCATGCCCTAGCCTGGTGTCACCCTGAGACCCTGTCCTGCACAACCAACAAGCCCACCCAAGCTCCAAGCAGCAGCTTTTGCATATGAATGGACTTCCCTATTGCAGCTTAACCTAGCAAACTTGCAACCTGGTTCAGATAGCTCCAAAGCCTCCAACCCCAAGCAGGGAGGAGAGGACTATGGTTCTTGCTGCAAGGTGGCCTAAGACAGTAGCTTACCTGCACCCCATTTGGAAATCCAGAAGCCAGTGTACCTATTGGTCAGTGTGAGACACCAGATTTCAACTTCTCACATCCATAAGTGACACATTCCATAGGCGGACTCAGTGAGCACCAAAGCCTCACTGAAACAAGGCCTGCACCATAAGGGTGTCTCCAGCACAGCATTTTCCCCATTATAGACACAGCAGGTCCTCATAATCAATTGGCCTGGAAGTCAATTCCTCCCAGTGTACCAATAACAATCAAGGCTTAACTACACCAAGACTTTGCACTCAACCCACAATGGGGTGTACCAAGAGCGTCTACCTCAAATGATTGGGGAGGCTGAGCTACTGGCCCCTATAGATCACCTACCACACATAGCCACTCCATCAACATAGGGAAGCAACCAAAATGCGGAGACAGAGAAACATGTCATGAACGAAAGAAATGGAGGAAAGCAAACGACTGGACGACACAGAGTTCAAAACCACATTTATAAGGTTACTCAAGAATCTTCTAAAAACCAGTGAGAAACTTGAAGAGACCTTCAAGGACCTTAATGAGAATGCCAAAAAAATGGGAAAAGATCAGTTAGAAATTAAGCATACACTGTCTGAAATAAAGAATACACAGAAACTCAACTATAGATCAACATTCCCCAAGAATCAAAACAAAGATCTGAAATATGAGGAAACAAAAAACACCCAACAAGAAAAACAAAAAGAAAAAAGAATCCAAAAATATGAAGATAGTGTAAGGAGCCTCTGGGACAAATTCAAGTGTACCAACATCTGAATTTTTGGGTGCCAGAAGAAGAGAGAGAGCAAAATATTGAAAACCTATTAGAAGAAATAATGACAGAAAACTTTCCCTACCTGGTGAAAGAAATAGACTTACAAGTTCAGGAAGTGCACAGAACCCCAAACAAGAGGAATCCAAAGAGGACCACACCAAAGACACATCATAATTAAAATACCAAGGGCAAAAGACAAAGAGAGAATCTTGAAAACAGCAAGGGAAAAACAGTTAGTTACCTACAAAGAAGTAACCATACAACTGTCAGTTGATTTCTCAACAGAAACTATGCAGGCCAGAAGGGAGTGGCAAGAAATATTCAAAGTGATGAACAGCAAGAACCTACAATCAAGATTACTCTACCCAGCAAAGCAATCATTCAGAATTGAAGGTAAGATAAAGAGCTTTACAGACAAGAAAAAGCTAAAGGAGTTCACCACCACCAAACCAGGATTACATGAAATGCTGAAGGGTATTCTTTAAGAACAGGAAGAAGAAGAAAAAGTATAGATAAAAATTATGAACACAAAAAGACATCAAATACCTACCAACAAGTGAATCTAAAAATGAAGTGAATAAAAAGTCTGAAGAACAGAATGGACTGGTGAATATAATAGAATCAGGGATATAGAAAGGGAGTAGACTGACAATTCTCATGGGGCAGGGGGTGTGAGGGGTGTGGGAAGAGATTGTACAAAAATCTTATACCTATGGATGAAGACAGTGGCAGGGGGTAAGGGCATGGGGTGGGGTGGGAAATCAGGTTGAGGAGAGCTATGGGGGGAAAAAAGAGGAACACCTATAATAATCTGAACAATAAAGTTTTATTTTAAAAAAGAAAGAAAACTACCCCACTTCTCCAGGGAGAAAGTGAATGAAATGGGGACCAAGACCAATAATAAGGAAAAAGTAATGACATTTCCTGGCCATTTTGATCAGTGCTTAGAGTGTCAGCCCTTATACTAAAGGGTCTTGGTTCCATTTCCAGTCAAGAGCACATACTTCAGTTGCAGATTTTTGTCCCTGATCAGGGAATATGTAGGAAGCAACCATTCGATGTATCTTTCTCATATCAGTGTTTCTCTCTCTCTCTTTCTCTGTCTGCCTGTCTATCTCTCTCCCTCCACTCCATACTGATGGCAGTCATCTTCCACAGAAAGTTGGCAGGGACCAAGTCTTCACAACTAGTGAACTCCTAGTAACTCCAGAATCTATGCTGACATTTATCTGAAGACTGAAACTCTTCCTTAATATCAAGCCACACAGCTGACTTCCTGATTCTCAGTATAATGGGTTGAGCTGTAAACAGGAAGTGGAAAGGGGAGCAACAGGGACTCAGGGGAGGGAAAAGCAGGAATAAAAAAGCACACACCTTCATCTCTGGTCCTATCCAGCGGCTTCCTTAGCCAAATCTCCCTGATTTCTCACACTGCTAAGAGAATGTGTAATCCTCAACCCTGAGACCTAATGCAATGGGACCAGTCAGACTACAGAAACTGGCCTATGAGGTACATGTGTCTAAGTCCAGATCTCTTGGCTACATCTTTCTATCTCAGACCTCTTTGCAAGAGGAAAGACTCTGATGCTCTAGCGCCCAGGAGATGCTCTAAAAAGAGAGAAAGTGACCAGGGTGGCTCAGGAGGCACCTCTTGTGTTTGAGGAGTATGGGCAAGCTTGAACTGAGTCTTCACTCACTGGGGAGAGATGCTTTCAAGGTTCAGTTCCATCATGCTGCAGGACAAGAGGGCATCAGGAGGGAGTGGAAGAATACTGTCCACCACTAATTGTTTCCCTCCCATAGAGCCCGCCATTCCCTGATCAGCCTCAGAGGACTTAGGGATACAGCAAGTCCCAGCATCACACAGCAGAAACAGCCCCCCCCAAATGTGAACGCACTTCATTTCCTCAGCTAAGTGTGAGTACAATCTTTTCTGCTGCTTGAAAAAGCAGTGCTTTTCCTCCCAATTACATTCTTTCCAGTTGTGATGTTGAATTTTTAATTTCTAATATTATAGAAGTCCATGGCTTTTTCATGCTTACAGAGGTGGCCAGAGTTAAAAGTCTGGGAAATCCTTCTCTGAAATATGTCCTATGAGATACTCCAACCATCAGAAATCACACAGATGAAAGCAAATGCTCGATGTGCCCAGAGGGCTTCAGAGCTCACGCTGCTCAATTCTATTGGCTACAGAGTTTCCAAGATGGACTGCAAGGCAAAACTAGAGGAAATATTATTTTAAAAGCCTGGCAAGTTCACAGGAGGCTAACATAGCATGCTCTTCTCGGCACTAATAATTTACAAACCAGACATGAAGAACAAGTGGTTCTGAATCACCCAAGTCTCAGACACCAAGTGCCTGCCCTATTCCAGTCTCTGGAGCACCACCCCTGGAGCCTATTTTGACCACGTGGCCTCCAGGAATTATAGAACAGGCTGCAGAGAAGCAATGATCAAAGTTTCTGGGTTCCCAGGCACCTAGCAGCAGCTCTTGGGGTGGTTGGGCTGAGTCAAGATACTGGTGACGAAAAAAATCACAACTGTGAGCCTAAGGCCTTCCGAGCATGTAAGCTGGGAGAGCTGAAGGCAGAGAGTCAGTGCAGCTTCTGTCTGCCACTGGTAAAGGAGCAGCCAGAATCATCAGACAGATAGATGAACTCAGGTGAGGCAATATCCGGGGGCACTGGCATTTTCTAGCATGCTGGCTTCATCAATAATATTCATTGCAAGTAAAGCTTTGAACATAGATAAAGCTCACTGATTTAACTTCTGTTTCCCTGCTCTCATTTAAAGCCCCTGCAAGAGACCAGCCCCTTGCCCCTATGAATATGTTCACCCATAGAATGAGGTCAAGTGTTAAACTCAAGTATTTGGACATATGAATCCACAAACTTACTAGAGTGCTTCTTTTTCAATATACCAAATTCATACATAAATATAATGAGCTGAAAGCAAATCAAAACTAAGGCTCTGACACCAGTTTTGCAGCTATTTAACTTTATTATATTTTAAAAGTGAGAAGTTTTCTAATAAAAATGTTAAATAAAAAATAATAAAAGTGAGAACTGTAAAACTATTTGTATAAACACCTGAGAACTGTTCACCGGACACAGCATCTTCACTCAAACAATTTCAGAGAAGAACAAGTTTAAATTAACTTTTATCTTATAACACAAAAGAAATAACATAGATGAAACCACTCTTTAGATCGCATATGCCCAATAAATCATTGCTTTTGTTTACAAATATAACGGACACTTGGTTTTCTCTAAAGGCAATGTACATGCTGGACCCTGGCAAACGTTTATTGCACTTACAGCAAATGACTAATACAGTTAGCACCAATTCTTACAGCTTATATTACAACAAATGTAATACAATATAAAAATGTAATAAATAACAAAATAATAATAATAATAATAATAATAACATAATAGCATGTCTTACTTGAAAGTTCTAATTTGTAAAATAAAGTCCAAAATGACAAATCCAATGTACCTTACAAAGTTTAATAGTATAAATGGCTAAGAAAGCAAATGAACTAGATATACTACACAGGACGGAAAACTAAAGCTGAGAGGTACTTGTGATGGCAAATGAAGTGCATATTCATTATAGAATAAAAACATCTCAATATATATAGAAGTGGAAAATGCCATTTTAAATTCAAAAAGATTCACTTGTGTGCACACTTCATATATAGAAAAAATACAAATATCAAACAGTATCCATATGAATATGCATTTTTTAATTCAACTTCAGAGAGAAATGTGAGTTATAAATGGCTAAATATCTAAGATTAGGCAAAATATTTTAAAGTTCTAAAATAACAATTAAATTTAATGGAGAAGAATAAAACAATACTTCACCCAAACTACCTTGTATTATAAGAACTATTGCATAAAACAGTCATTTTATCTTATAATTTATCCAAAAAAATGGTAAGAACACTTTATGAAATCCTGTAAGAGTACTTTTTTTTGTTTAAATCTGATCAAATACAATATACAGAGAAATAATAACAAAAGGGAAATAATTTATATGGCTATTACATTTCATATAGAACATGAACAGAATACTGCTATAACAGACACAAAATATTTGAGAAAAAGATGATATCTACAGATGCATCTTTGAATTATCTTCTAAGGAGAACTTCTCATAGATTTTATTAGAGAACTTGTCAATCCCTGATACTTCCCCTTTGGGATTTAGCTGTTTTGGCTCTATATAGAAACATTAACTGAAATCAAAGGTGTTTCTCAGATGAAGAATATTTTTAACTATACAATAACAATAAAAAGATAGAAAGAGCCAACTACTAATTTGAATACACTAATAGTAATGTGTTAAATGGTTTCTAAAGAAATAGAATGAATTGCAATATAGTTCTGTAATTCTGTATGTAACAAAATTTTAGAGGAACCTTCTATAACACAAAAATATCTAAGGGCAATGGAATGATTTTACATCAATATGGTATTGGTCTTCCAGAATTAAATCTAATATATATTTTTTCAGACTTTAATGCTTCTTTCTGCTTTAAGCTTTTCGACATAGTGGCACAACTTCAGAGCTGTTCCTAGCTTAATTCCCATAAACTTTATCATAACTTCACTCTGGAGCAGTAGCAGAGCTATCCCGTCAATGCCCTACAGAAAAAAGGAAATCAGAATAACTAATAATGATTTCATACCTTATCAGGAAAGTCATCCTATCTAATAAAGAGGGAATATGCAAATTGACCATCACACAGTCACAAAGATGATGGCACCCATAGCCACAAGATGGCAGCGCCCAGTTCCCTCAGCCCCACCAGCGTCCCCCAGTCCTTTCAGACCCACCGGGGGGCAGGGGGGCGGCAGAGGCAGGGTGCAGCCAGATCTGCCCTCAGCCCCTCAGCCCCCTAAGGGCCAGCCTGAGGCACAGGCAAGCCTCAGATGTCAGCTGCCCAGCCAACACCCAAGGTGTAGGCAAGCCTTGGATGCCAGCTTCCCAGCTTCCCAGGGCAGGCCTGAGGTATAGGAAAGCCTCAGATGGCAGCTGCTCAGCCACCCAAGGCCACCCAAGGCTCAGGTAACCAAGCCCGGCTGAGGCTTGTGCTGCTGGCAGTGGCAGCAGCAGAGGCATGATGGGGGCATCACCTTTCCCTGATCGCTGGGTCGCCTCCCACCCCTGAGGGCTCCTGGACTGTGAGAGGGGGAAGGCCAGGCTGAGTGACCCCTTTCCCTCCAATGCATAAATTTTTATGCACCAGGCCTTTGGTTTCTTTATATAGAAGAATAGTAATATCAATTAGAGGGCAGCTCATTGCAGTTGTATATTCTCTGAACAATCAGCTGCTTTATGAAACCTATTAAAGATATAATTTGTATAGCTGAAGCATCATTTGATCCCTTACAAATTTACTTCAAATTTTAAGAATAATTATATTTAACCCAATATACTAAAAATGTCCTAAGTGTCAAACTACCTAATTTTAAATACTGTATGTTGAATAAAATACTGCATAGCTAAGCTATGACAAAAAGAATAAAAGCTATGAAGGGCAGAAATAAATTTCAGATGATCATTAACTTTTTAAGAAAAGCTGGGAATATGAGTATGGCAGGATCAATGCAAACTGTAAATGTGCATCATAACAAGGAGGACACTCTTGTGTGGTGTAGTAGCTATCATTACAAAGGAGAAGATACCTGAGAGTGACTATGCTGAATCATCTTGAGAACTTAAAAACTTGTAATATTTTAGGTACTCAGTTATCCATTTAAAATACAGATCCAGCTTCTACCACTTAAGGATCTAACTTTGAGCTCAGTAACTTTTCTCACACATGCAGTTCCCTTACCATCCACACTAATTAGTATCAAATTGAAGAGCCTGCACTGAGGTCATTCAGAGGCAGGAAAACTGGATCAAAAGATACATTACGTGTTTCTTGAAGGTGTCGGCAATGGGGATGAATGCCTCAGGATCTGTATGCTCTAGATACAGGACCACTTCATCTACTGTCCAAGTTGAAGGATCATGAGGGAAGCTTTGACTTAGCGGACACGTGACAGCTCCATCTGATGCATCTTCAATGGGGGAAAAAGACAAATCATCTTGAGTTGATCATTATTCTGAAAGAAGATATGTTAGGTAGGGGGTAATGGCCTTACTCCTGGAACCATCTGTTAGGTACCTCGGCAAGGACTCAAGACTCCAAGTTCAAAATCCAGTGAAAGCTTAAAGATGATGTGAGGATGAGCACCCCATCTGACTGCCCATGAATAACAGCAGCAGCTTCCAAAGTTACTGTAAAGCTTCAAAGCTCATAAAACAGACTGAGCAATCTGAGATCTCTATGGCCACAGGCAACTATAGCAAAAGATCTGTTACTGGGTTAAATAAGTTAATTTAAGCTAACCTATTATTCTCTAAGCATTTCAATGAATTTATCTCTTATTGCTCTGTCTAGATTAAGTTTATTTTACTAGCTAAATACAACGGGAATCCCCAAATTAAGCTTTATAATTTCTTAAATTTATTCACTTTAATAAATGAATTTCAAAAATCCCATTATCTTTGAGAACCAAATTAGTTCTTTACTGAATCCCTCCTATATATTCACTATAGATATTTTAAGCATCATTTTACTCTTTAAATTCCTTTCTCTCAAGGCTTACTTATCTGAATTTTGAAGAAAGCAAGATGATTTTATTCTTAGCTAGGTCAGAAGTAACTTCAACACTATCTTGGGTACTTCTTTTGAGTTTAACTACACTGCAATAGCTATTTTGATTTAAGGTTTATATGCTGAAAAATAACAAAGACATGAAACAACTGCAGTGCTCATACCTCACTATGTTTTAGCTAAGTCATGTTCACTAAGTCATGATGACATTTCTCTGTGTCTACATATATTCATTTTCTCAACCAGAGCACTCATATCTCTATAGTGTGTGATAACAGAAGTGGGGTTTGTAATTCTCTAGGAAGATTTGTTTCTCTAACCAAAAATCATCAATACAATTTTTATCTTCCTTGTGTGTGAATTAGCCAAAGATGTATCTTTTCTTTCCTATCATCCTGGCTCTGGCCATTTCAAGAGCATTCTAAGTATTTACCCTGGAAAAAGGTAAAGAAAAGCAAAAGATAAAAATACTCACAATGGAATCATTATGAGTATTAGTGAAGAGGCATGTCAGTTGATTAGCGGTTGTTGATGAGACATAAGACACTTAATAAGTGTTAGCCATCTAAACCAACCCTCAAATAGGAAATGAACAGCTTCCACTAGCTTGCACCAAGTATGTTGAGGAATATAGGTTAAATAGTGTTACTTGTAATATGTGTTTTTTTCACACTCACGGGCGACGCAGGAAGGGAAGTTACGGCTCAGGCTATCCTTTTCCAGCAAACTTGAGTAAGTCATCATCTCAGGGCTGTATGCCACACTGGATTTACATTGCTCCAGCATAGCTGCATGTACTGATGTGGAATTTTTTGCACCTGATAAGATATTCATGGCACTGTGAGGACCCTGATTGTCAAAGGAGGCTATGAAAGGGGAGCGCTCCATTTGCTCATCGGAAATGTAATGTGATGAATCTTCCTGTGTATAGGGAGGGAATGTTGGACTCTGGCTAAGGCGCATATCATGATCCTCATTATCATGGATAATGGAATCCTGTGATGCGTAATAATTTCCTACAATGCTGCTCTGGGAATCATGTCTGGGCCTTTTTACTGGTATAGTTGGGCTATAACTTTGTCCACAATGGCATGAAGCTGGAAGAGACATCTCCATCTCCATCTCCGTCTTCTTTTTCTGCAGTTTAACCTTTCTAGAAAGCAGGTAACTGTAATGTTTGTATGCATATCCAAGTGGCTTCTGAAATGACACAAACCCAGCATAATAAACCAATTGTGAGTGAGCAAAAAGTAAATAAAATAAGTAGTAAAGACATCAATATTTATTAACCAATGCAACATTGCATTCTATTATTAAAAAGTAATGTTCTATTTGATTATATGAGTTTTATTCCTCTTCAACCCCACCTTTTAATTGCAGTTTGTACATTCTGGTTACAAACATAAAAATACCCATTGTTTATACATTTCTTAAACCTAAACTTCAGCATTCTTCCTAGAAGTTCAGTCTCCTCCCAACTGTTGCTACAAGTATGGATCAGCCTCACAATCTCACAGACTTATTAGTCCTCTCTCACTTCTAACTGACAGGCAATTTCAGCAACCATAGGTTTATGAAAATATTTATGACACTTACGCGATTTTGCCAGATTAATTTTGTACGAAAACGGTAAATTTTTGAAACCTTTCCATGAATGGTTTTAAACTTCTTATTCAGGGTTTGAACAGAATTTTGGATCATCTATAATAATAATAATACAATTTATTAGTAGGTTCTATGTTAAAAGTTAACATACAAGAAAATACTATTAAGCCAAATTTTGACTGCTACAATAAAAGTTTACAAGCCACCAGAAATGTCTTGCTTTCCAATTGATGCCTAGTTGTTGATGACATAGTTCCCAGCTAGCTAACATAAGGATTGTCAACCTCCTACACAACTACTTCATGTAATATAGGCATTTTCAGAATTTACATAAATTCTGAAGTAAATGTAGCACAATTCCTATAACCCGTCACATTTATGATCGACTAATTTTACATCAAGGAAGGCACTATTTTAGGAAAGAAATGGTCAAATCTGCTGAAAAGTCAAAGAACCTCTTTCCATATGATGGTGTGAACTAATAGGCAGTGAGCATTCCAGTCTAGAAAGAACAGTGAGCCAAAAATATCAGATGTGACTTTTGCCTTCAAAGCATTTTTAAATTATGCAATCAACAATTAACAACATACAGTTAATGATCTGTGAATATACATCCCTATATGCCAAGCAAGTATGTCACAAACAGAACCTGAGAAATTTTGAATACACAGAAATTTCATTCAGGCAAAAAATACACTTAAATAACAGGCCAGAGCCATTTCCTTATTCACTCATTCCAATAAACATTTATTGAGGGCCTACCACCTGTCAGAACTACTTTGCTAGATGCTAGAAACATGGTCATTAAGAAAAAACAAACAAACATCTCCTGTCCTAAGGAACTCCCATTTTAGCTGGGGAGAGAGAAAAAGTAGAGAGATGCTTTCAGCAGAGAAACTGAGTAGCAGCCTGGAGAAGAGTTTCTCAGAGTGTGGACAGTGGACCAGCAGCATCAATACTCTCTTCCTGGAATTACAAATTGCCCTACCCCACACCTAATAACTCAGAGTGGGGGCAGCAATGTGTTTTCACAAGCCCCCAGATCACTCTGTTTTCAATCAAGGGTGAGACCCATTGATTGAGCTATAGCACTAGGCAAGCAGTGCAGGCTCTGAAACAAGGTTGAATCTAAATACAAGAGTTCTGACACTTATTATCTCTGTGACCTTGGTGAAGTTACTTCACTTCTCTGTGCTTCACTTTCCTCATGTATAGAATTGGGATAAAAATATCTCTGAGTTCTCTTGAAAAAATAAGATTCTATGGTATTATGTTCATACTAACATAATAATGCTACCTGATGATTAGTCCAATGACGCTCAATCATCTATTCATATTAATATTACTATTATGATTATTATGGCACAGGTAAGAACAGGAGGCTAAGTGTACACAGAAGAGCAATACCTAACCCAAGTTGGTAGAGATGCCATGGAAGAGCATACAGAGCAGAAAGAATAGTGTATTTAAAAATACCCAGAGAGAAAACAGGAAGTCAGACATTTAGATAGTGAACATAACTGACGTTCAAAGAGCTGGGTTATTAAGGGAAGGATGATAGCAAAAGAAGGATGGGAGGCTACAAGAACTCCTTTTGTAAACTGTGGGAGAAGATGCTGAGTGAGAGACACAGAGGCTAAAGACACAGGAGAGAGAGGGATGGCCCATTAAGGCAGGTGTCTGAACACAGGGAAAGAGGGTCAGAGGAAGCCAGCAGAGATGTTAGCCTTACAGAGGTAGACACCAGAAGAGGAATGGATCCCAGCAAAGTTTGTTGGTTTTGGGGAGAGGAATTAGAAATTGGAAGGGATTTCTGCTCCATGCCCTCCATTTTCTCCATTAAACAAGAGGCAAATATTGGGGTGCCTGGAACTTGGGGTAGGGCACAATGGAAGAAGGAGCTGACTAGAGAGCTGCTGGAGAGGGCTGGGGTTTTACTGAAGAGGATGCTGGACAAGGATCAAAAAGAAAAGCTGGAAGTGCTGCACCATGTGGTCTAGACTAGAAAGGGAAGCAGTTGAAGAAAGGAGAGCTGGCCCACTAGGCCAAATAGACTGAATCCCTTTGTCCCATTCCAGGCCTGTGACTGGGACCTGAGCATTTCTTGTCCTGGATGCTACATCCCACCATATCTTGCACAACTGCTCAGAAGGCCCTGGCAGAGCACTGTCCATCTAGGACAGTGGTCGGCAAACTCATTAGTCAACAGAGCTAAATAACAACAGTAAGTTACAATGATTGAAATTTCTTTTGAGAGCCACATTTTTTAAAATTAAAATTCTTCTAATGCCACTTCTTCAAAATAGACTCGCCCAGGCCGTGGTATTTTGTGGAAGACCCACACTCAAGGGTCGCAAGAAGCAGTTTGCCGACCACTGACTTAGGTCATCATGGATACTTATGTAAGGAATGCCAGGGATAGCTCTGCTCAAAATCATAACCTATGTCTCCTATAAGCATTCCACTTCTGTTCTTAATAATAAAAATAGCACTCATGAATATTCTTTACTTTTCAAAGTATGTTAAAGATACTTGTTATATTAAAGATACTTGTTATATTAAGAAACGTTTATTTTTTATAAATGTATATTACCTCTAGTGTATATAGCTCATAAATCCTTGAAAATTACATATATCTATCAAGCTCTACCAACATGCTAATTTTTACAAAATCCTCTCAAAACAATATAAGATTTGCTCTTGTAAAATAAGTAGGTTGCCGTTTAGTTTCAATTGAAATGCATTTAGACATATTCTAAACTTCATCCAAATCAGCCCATTTCCTTAGAAAGAGCATGTTGGAAAATTTAAATATTTAATAATATAGAATCTAGATGAAAGAGACATAACTACATTTGACCAGTTAAGAGCTTTTTTGAAAAAGCTATAAAATCTACATATTGGTATTTCAAATTTTTCACCTACAGATGCTATTTGAACTGGAAATTGTTAAAAATGATAACAATGGGATGATAGTCACAAATTAATACAGTAAAATTTCAACTAATTATATACTTTATACAAGATAAAGAGAACTTCAGCTTAATACTTTAAAAAACTACATTTGACAGACAGAACTCTTGTACCTTGCAACGATTCAGGATATCCGCAACTGATTTTCGTTGCTCTTCATAGTATGTGTTAGACTGAACACTTTGCTGCCAAGATTTTAAATGTTAAGTATTAATTATTTAATTCTGTAAGAGTCAAACTGAATATAAAGGATAAATAACACTTTAATTAAATTGTTTTTACTTTTCACCAACTTTTTAGAATTTCAGAAGTCAATATAAAGCAGAATTGAAATAAAATAAAAACATACACTAATAGAAATGATTACTACTAATTAAGAGAAGGAATAAGGAAATAATTTATTATACCAGAAGGACCTACATTTAGAGTTTTTTTTACTGAAAATCAGTATTGCTCTCAATTTCCTACTATATAAGAAAAAGAAGAAAGTAAAATAGTTAAATGCTCATTGTCTAATGACAGGAGGCCAACAAATTTAGGAGTAGTATTTTCTTAAGTGTGATTTGGAGGTTGTCTGCAGTATGTGAAGAATTTAAATATTTGTCTTTAAAATGGTTGTGTTATATTTGGCAAATGGCAATTATTACTTACATTGCCATATCCAGGTTTTGATTGATATGCATAAAGAATGCCATTATCATCACCATCACAAGTAGTTATTGGAGTTTTTACCTAAGGAAGATTTATTAATAATTTAAAAGTAAACATGAAAGATGGAAATGAAAGAAAAATTGAGGGCTTCAACTTCATTTTCAAGAAACTCCCAAATCCTATCTGTGGTATTAGAGGACCTTTGACCATTGTAAGTAAACATTATGACTACAAGAAAATGTGTACTTGCAAAACTGTTTTCTCATTAACCAAACTACACTTAAGACATTATTTCTATCAAGCTCAGCCTCTTGTGTACCTTAGGGTAGAAAGACTAGTCTTCTAGTAATTTGGCACAAGAACTATTATAACAGCAAATATTTCTAACCACAAAGAACCCAGTTACATGGCTTTTGATTTTTAAACCATCCAACAGTGCCACTCTGTGGACAAAATAGTAAACACTTAAGTACCTATTTCTTTTTCAAAAACTTTTTATTAAATCCTTATTTTCCTGATTAAAAACGATTTGTTTTATTCGATAGCATATAAGTTAATTATTGCTAGTAAAACATCTTCAATTCTAGGTATTTCTACATAATTTTTAGCAAGGGTTTTTTTTTCTTTCCAGAAGCACTTTTAAATTTAATTATTTTTTCAATTACAGTTTATATTTAATATTACTCTGTATTAGTTTCAGGTATACAGTATAGTGATTAGACAATCACATACTTTACAAAGTATTCACCCTGATATTTATAGTACTCACCTGACACCATACATAGTTATTGTAATATTGACTGTACTTCCTATGACTAGTAAGTACCAATTTGTACTTCTGAATCTCTTCACCTTTTTCTTGATAAATTAATATCTAAAGCATCTTAAAATGTTTTTGGAATGTTTTAAATAAATAGATAACCATTAAATAACCATTAAATTTCATTTAATAACAATTCTAAGAATGAACTATAGGAATAATTTTAAAATAAGCATACTTTAAAGCTATGCATGTCTGTTTCAAAAGATATAACCAAAATAATATGGAATTACTATAGATTAGTACCTATAAAAATATAGCATCTTACCCTTGTATTGTGCCTTATGCTTTTCCAAGTGCTTTCACATAATTATGTCAGAAAAAAAATGGAATCTTTGTAGGCAGTTAACATTATCTCCAAAGATAAAAAGTGTTAAGACTGATATGTTAAAAAATTGCCTCTCCCACTTAGGTGGCAGTAATAGCTATTACACCCTTATGTAATTAATGTGTTTTCTATTAAACCAAATTGTATATAGCTTAAAAATATTTTTATTCAACTTCTGGGATCAAGAAACATACAATGTGACAGGATGTACAAGACAACAAACATTCTAAAAAACCATTTGGCAGATTCTCATCAAGTTATAATTATATCAATTATATGACCAAGCTATTCAATTCCTGAGCATTTACCCAAAAGAAATGTTAGTATCTGTTCACAAAAAAACTTGTACATGAATGTTCACAGCAGCTTTTAGATCACTGTCAAGAACTAAACACTTACGATCTCTGCTTGAAATTAAATTCAATTTAGAAAAGAATAGAACACAATGAAAAGAACAATGACACATTTTTTTTAAAAAAAATTGAAATACAAACCACATCAACTTCACTGGAGCAGCTAGACATCGTTGTGCAATAGGAGCAGCTTCACTTCTCTGGAGCCTAATTATTTTCAAACTTGCTGGAGGGTTTATTTGTGAAACTGCTTGGTCACCTAGGACTGAAAAGCCTTCTACTCCTGAAAAACAATGCATGGAAATGTTACTTTACATACTACGTTAATAAACTTAGTACAGATGTGTTCTCACAAGCCAACTCAAATTGGAGTCTTGGTTGATTTTTAGGGTTTTCTTGTTCATGATTTAGAATAAACCTTTAAAGTTTGAAGGACTATATTGCTCATGCATAGGAATAAGAATCAAGATCAAACACAATTCCAAATTGTGAAGTGAATGCTTCACAATTTAAAGGTTACAGAATAAATGCTGGAAACAAGGCAACATGATTCCTAAGATTCCTTACTGCTTTTGTAAAGGAACTCCAGCAGGCTCAAATGTGACTCAAGAGTCTGTTCCAGCTTGGGTCTCCGCCACGGTGTGGGCTGGGCAGACCACCTGAGATACCACCTCCTCATCTGACAGGTGAAAACTGGCTGAGATTATCTCTAAGGTCACTTCAGCTCATAATCATAAGGTTATGATTCCTTCCATAGTTAAATTTCATATTAAACCTAAATAAGTGTATATAAAACATCAGCTAAAGAGCTTTCAGAATTACGTAGGCTTTGTTATGGTTCTGAGTCATTTAATTCTGCAAATAGGAAAAAGCATGGAGTGCAATGCAATCATATTATATATTGTAATAAGGATGTGAACCCTGGCTGGCATCATGGCACTAGAAGGGGGACATACATGAGAGCACTAATTCTATTTATCCACCCAGAGCCAGACCAGAGAATGAAGGAAGAATTAAGTCTCAAGTTAGATAAATGTAGGCTAATACTGTGGAAAATGTGCAGTTATAAAATATATCCAATTTCAGCTGTAACTTCAACCAAATTTTATTATTTTATACTATGTGTAATTTTCCTGATAAGAGTAATAACAAGCTATGAACAACTAAACTGTGATGTTTTGGACAAAGAAAGATTACATAGCAACAAAAAGAAATTAACTATTGCTATGCCCAAGGACAAATCTCACAACCATAACATTGAGTAAAGGCCAGAAAATAGTACCAACTTCATGGAGTTATGATTAAATGCTTGGAACAATGACCAGCATAGCAAAGGCACCCGCTGTTGGTTACTATTATTTTATTATTTGGGTATTCATAGCATTCTCCCAACTATTCATCATGAAGCACATGTGCAACATGCAACATATAATCAGGGTCATAACATATAAATCTGATTTACTTTGCATCTGGACACTGCAGATATAGCAACCAGAGCACATGAAAAATAACTGGGCTTTAATACTGAAACCCAAGGCCAATTGCAAATTTTGCTATTTTGCTTTTGGCAGGTATTTAGTCTCTGTGTCTTGATTTCATAACCTGTAAAGTTGGAATGATATCTACTCCACAAGGCTGTGAAGACCAAATGACACAGTTAAGCAATCAGCATCTTTGTCTGGTCCATAGCAGGCACAGCATAAACTTTGTTTTCCTTTCACTTCTTCCCACAAGGTAAATAAACTTTGCACAAGATTTTCTTAGAGCTCAACCATGATTAGATTTTTCCAAAATTAGTTAATATAACCCGCTAAATTCAAAATCCTGCAAAATGAGTTTACTTATAAAATGAAGCTCATCCATATTTTACAATAGAAAAAAAATCTAAATTCTTGACAACATAAGACCAAAAGCCACCCAGTTTTTAGGACTTTTTTTTTAGACGTTAGAGACTTTCAAAGGCATTTTAAAAAAAATCATTTGAAGATTCTGCTCCCAAGGGACAAGGCATTCACTTGCTTTCAACTTTTCACAATGGTGAGGGATAAAAGTGGCCTTTCACTGGAAATCAAAAAGGAATACATAGCAGAACAGGGAAGTTTACAACAGCCAGGCCACTCCAACAACTTTTTAAAACAAAACTATGTCACCCTGGCAGGCATTACTCAGTGGTTAAAGGTTGACCTGCGTAACAGAGTGTCCCGGTTTTGATTCCCAGTCAAGGGCATGTACTACCCCAGCTGGGATGGGGTGAGTGCAGGAGGCAACCAGCGGATGTGTCTCTCTCACATCAATGTTTCTTTTTCTAAAAAAAAAAAAAAAAAAAAAAAATACTCGGGCGAGGATTTAAAACACACACACAAATTGTGTCAACACACTGAACAATCACGACTTATAAATATTAAACCACTTTAAAACTCTAGTCTGAATTCCAGGAGAGCCGGGTAGGGAAGGAGGAAAACGATCCCCAACAAGCGAAGTACTCAGAAGAGCTTTCTTTCTCATTTATGTATTTACAATAAAAGAGCGAGGCTGCACTATCAAACACAGCTACCATTAAAGCCTCAAAAACAATGTCTTGATATGCCAAGGAAGACAAAGAATGAAAAAAAAAAAAAAGATAAACTCGCTCTCCCATCCAAGTACTAACCAGGCCCGACCCTGCTTAGCTTCCGAGATCAGGCGCGTTCAGGGTGGTATGGCCGTAGACGATAAACTCGCTCTCAAAGGTCAGCACCAACTATTCAAAAAGTGGCCAAATCACAAAAGCTAACATGCCAGGAAGGCAATGGGAACCAGTGGGAAGCAGTCCGAATTAATCAGACACACTCCATCTTAGCACTGCTGAAATTAAAGTGTATACGTGTTCTCTCAGAAACGCAAATTCTTCCTCTTCCCTCACACAAATCTTCCCACTTCACACCTGACCCCTCTCTGGAGTTCCTCGGGCATTAAAATAAATCAACTGCTTTCTAGCCCACACCCAAGACAAGAAAATTCAAGGAGAGAGTAAATATCGCTGGATAAACCTTTCCTGGTGACAAATTCTGTAACACCAGCCTCTTGAGGGAAGACACAGGAACCGACCAGCTGTGGCCGTCCCTCGTGGCTAAATGACGAAGACCCTTACGAGCCACTCGAAGTCTATTGGATAATGCAGGACCACGTGACATCCACCAACGGTCAAGGCAAAAGCCAGGCATTGGAGAGCAGGACATTGCTAGAGAGACCTCCCTGGAAAACGCCTTTACTGCCCACTGCGCAGTGGCTGATGGGATTGAAATCCGGCCCTGACCACAGGTGTGAACCTCCCATCAGAAGCTTCTGGAGCTGTGCCGGGGCTGCTCGCTCGCAGCGCATGCGCACGGGATGGTTTTGGAGGCAGCTCTCGGGAAAGTGGCACTTAGACTCCTCCCAACTGTTACTGATTGGTTCTTTAATGCTTTCTTTGAAACGTTAATTCCTCTCAGACCCCTCTCTGTAAGAGGTCCATGTTGACTGGATCCTGAATGTGCTCATTAGTATTGGAATTACATGACATTATTTAGTGGCATATTATCTTATATTTATCGAAGCTGCCCATCTTGGGAAGGAGGAACAGTGTGGAACAGTCTGAGTACTTATCAGAAATAAAGCCAGAAATTTTTTCCTAACCCAGAGGGGGGCTACAGAAAAGTAATCCAACATTGGAAATGTATTATTTCTCCTCTCAAATACAAAGCAAGATTAGAGCCCATTGTAGAGACAGTATTTATTATTATTATTATTATTATTATTATTTTGCTCATATTTTTTGCCACAGTAGTCTTCCCCTTTATGTCCATTTCTCTGTAAAATGATTGTATTTGTGAAACCCCAAGAATGCAATTACGTAACAACTACAAAGCCAATGCTCGAAATCTCGCAGCTCCGCCCACCTGCACGCATCTCGCAGCTCTCATAGCCTTGCCCACTGGCACTGGTCTTTGGTCGTTAAGGCATTAGAGCCACAGGCCTTTTATAATATAGATGAAGAGAAAAACAGGTTTAATTGCAGTCACGTTTATTTGCAGTTTCAATACACACTTTCTAGGTAATCAAACTTTCCTGGTACATTTTCTTAAAGGGGTTCACAATGAAACTGTCACCATTTTTACTAAAAATAAATACAAGACTTAAAGTGTTGCACAGCTCTAAAATATACAAAGGCTTGAATTGAATGTAAACGTTGAAAACATCTTACAAAAGAAACAATTTTTTTGCAACAATTTAAAAAGTTCATATTTACAAATATTACAAAAATACAAAATGGATGCAAGTCCATAAACCATTGTCTTTTCGGCCAGCATGAATTGGTTCTAGTACCAAAATAGTGACGCATCAGAGTTTTCAATTTTTGTCACCATCTAGTTTTCTAAATCAGCCATCACTGCAGCAACTGTACTCACTCACTGACCTTTGGCAAGAGCAAACAGTGTGTTTTGTTTGCTATAACTAATCCATGTCCTCTACTTAGCCAAAACATAAAAAAAAAAATCAAAAAGTTAAGGAAAAAATTTCACCCACACAACATAGACATGTTGTATAAACATAAAAGCACAAAAAATTAGCATCAGTGCAAACAACAGAAGAAGAGCGGGATTGATTTTTTTTGAAATACCTAATGTGTGTACCCTGCTTCAAGATGGCAGTGATATTGAAGACAGCCTCTAAATTTTGGTCTTATATACTACGTAATAAAGCCATGTAGAATATTCCAGATTCCTAAGGAATTCCTTGCTTTTTTTCCCCTTAAGTTTGTTACTCAATAGTATTTTCCACAGTAAATTTAAAATCCATCTTTATCTGGGTTTCTTTAAATCTATGAAATATAAAATAGAGAAACTCTACTATAGATTTTTAGAGTAAACAAAATAAGTAAAACTATATTATAAGGGTTAGTTCTATAATCGTTACATACAGAAGGTATCTTATTGCCTCACAATTCAAGTCAATATGTATTTTAAGATATACATGGTACCATTACTTAAATTAATGCCAATAATAAAAAGGTGACATTTATTAAAGCCAATTTATGTTTTGTACTCAAGATTTAGAACCACTTTTAAAGCTCACATACCTTTCTTTACACTTTAAACCCCCCTAACTACACAAAGCCATACTGCAAACGAACTGCTTTTATGAAAATTACAAAAGATAGCCTATTGTGACTGGAAATGACTGTTTCTTACCACATTTGTCTAAAAACTTTATTTTGTTTTTAAATTTTGCCAAGTGTACTTTTCAAAGCATGAGAAAAAGATGTTCATGTTCCCATGTGGTGTCAAACCATGTTGGTTTTCCTAAGTCATGGGTTCCAATGAGGAATGATGGTACATATTTTTTCAAACCGCAAACATATTTCTTTTAATAAAAAGTGTAACATTTCATAAATGTTCAAATGTACCCTTTACCAGGTAGCTTATCTATCCCAGCCCAAGAGCGTGCGTGTGCACGCACGTGCACATGCACACACACAAACACACACATTCTCCCTCCTCTACCCCACCAACCCCTGTACCCATTTTACATACAAGGATGACAAGAAATTAAGGAACACAATTTGATAGGTGAAAACAAATAGTAGAAGCCAGACTTGTTCTTTTTTTTTTTCAGACAAACAGAAAAACCCAACAGCAATCAGATTCTCAAATTCTCAATCTGTAACATCTTAGAAAGTATTTATTTTTAAATACAGCATCTGCTTAGACCAGGTTTCTCCCTTCATATTGCATGAATGAAATCAAAACCACGCCCACTTTTTCACACATCCTACTTTCCCAAATACTACTTGCATAAGCTTAAAGCCAGCCACATATCAATTTCTTGGTAACTCTGATGTGTTCTATCATTCTAATTGCATTCTATTCTTTTATAGGCCATATCCCTCCTTAGTTCTCTCCACTTGCTTGCTACCTTTTCCCATTCAAAACATTTTCTAAATACATAACTACTTATATTTCTGACATTTCACACATTAACATCAGTTCTTGTTAAAATCAGAGGTGTAAAAACTATTTGCAGATTTCAACTTGTAACTACATTTTTTTTCAATTTTAAGACAAGAAAATTCAAGTAATTTCAAGTAATTCAGCTTGTTTCCCTGCCTTCATTTTATCAGAACACTTGCTCTGACATTTCCTTTCCCACCCACCACCCCTCCCCCTTTGCCATCAAGCAGATATAGTAAAATCAGACAAAAACTCAGGTGTATGTAGCATTGTGAACCAGAGCTGTTCCCCATTCCCAGCTTAACAGTGAATATAAATAATGCATATACACATATCTATTTCCCAACTACATTGTTCACAGTGTCATTTCTGTTAATTTTTAGGTAGCACAAATCTCATCAGCACAAGAGAGAAGCTTCACTGAAAACTCATTGCAGGTATTTCTGATAAATCAACAACTCTGTAGCATGCTCATGTTTTATTTTTGTTAAAGAACCTGGAGCTGATTTCTAGACTGTTTAAGGAGTTTTAAAATTATAGTCATTAGATTATGACTTTTTATGTCTCCGGGAGCCTAATATAAAACATAACCTAAAATTAACTAGTTTTCCCTGCTCATTCTCTTTAAAGCAATTCATTGAAACATTAAATTTTAAAGGACACTGTCAAATGCTGTTGTTCAGGGCTTTGTATTGAGAATGATGATTTTTCTCATTGATTAAAAAAAATCAAAAGCATGCTTTTCATTCTATCCAAATTACCATATGGCAAATCATAGCCATGTGATTATTACTATTAGCTTGCTTGGTGCTGCAATTTGTCACAAAAATAATTAGGTCTGAATTCCTTATTTTAAATTAATCACATTTCAATATATGACCTCAAGATTTCCTTTATTTCACCAGTTTAAGATTAATATATGAGGTTTATCACTCAGAAATCATATTGGTGGACATTTAAATATGGTAATTAATATGAAAATGGTATTCACAGAATACAGTTATTACACTTTATCTGTTGTGTTCTATAAACAGTTGGTGTGCAGTAGGTAATTGGCCACATGTCCACTCGTCATTGATAAATCTATTTACACATTTTTATCAAAAATATGGTATTTACATGTGTGTAGTTCTTTCTTCTAAATTTTACTTTAGTTCATTTTAATGTAAAAAAATACCAAACCTCCAGAGTAATTTCATCCTTTTAAGAATTATGACAGTGAGGGTTTTCTTTTCTGAATAGGCAGCTCTGGGAAAAATTTTTTACAGGTTTCATGAAAAGCAGACATTTTAAAATTCTATGTTATCCAAAGGAATGGAATTGGGTAAATCAAACTAAGCTAAAGAAAAATATGAAAGACAGTGCAGCTACTTAAAACAGAAAATAATCAAGAAAGACCAAACCACCTTCTGTTTCCCCAGCAAATATTTAGGAATTCATAAGTGATGGTGCCCCATGACATGTTGACTTCTCCCTAGCCTTTTGTTCTGTTCCCCCATCCTCACAGACTAAGGGTTTTGGCCTTTGATAGCTAGCCTGACACAGGCCACCTATGTTGAGCTCTGGGAGGATCGGTCGTCATGCGGGCTCCCATCGGAATTTTCCGTCTCCCCCTCAGAGATGGCTTGCATGGGCGCATTGTACAGCCTGCAGCGGACACTGTAGCGGCTGCTGCTGGCCACAGGAGGGACCCGAGAACGTCCAACCCTTGATGATGCTGAGGTGGGAAAGTTCTTTGAGGCAACAAACCCTTCTGCATTAACTCGTGGGGAGACTGGAGAGAGTGGGGACAATGCCTCGGCCCCAAGTGCCCCCTGATGGACCTCATGGGTGCTTTGGGGAGACTCAGCTGTGAGCTCTCCAGGAGGTTTTGGCAGGATGGGACTCTTCAGAATTTCAGTAGCAGACATGCGATAACTGGAATCCGAACGACTGCCTTTCTTGAGGAGTAACAGCTTAAACTCTTCATTGGACGTGTTGGACTTTTTAGCATTTCGGTAGATAAGGCCAGGAGACCTCTGGCTGTTGGGGGTGGTCACATTGCTGTTGGGTGAAGTGACGGAACCAGTGCTGCTACTGCTACTGCTGCCAAGGGAAGCTCTTGATTTGCTTCGAACAGACATGTCCCCAGAATCTTTTCTTCCAAGTACTTTCCTTTTAGACCTTTTAAGAAAAGGAAGAAAGAAAAAAAAAAAAAGAAAGAAAAGGAGGAATCTCAGTCCAGTTACATTTTTATGAAATGGAAAATATTAAGTCACGTTCACACATCTCCTTAAAGAGCATTTTGGTGCACCCTATTTGACCAGATACTACTTATCATGACTGTGGAGATGAGGCATAGAATACAGTCCTTACCCTTGTAGCACATACAGATGGAGGGAAATTATCTGATAACCATTGGACACAAATTAGATTTTGGAAATGACCATTTCAAATAATGACTAATGTGGAGGCTAGAGGTTCCAGAGGAGGACTTATTGGGATGTTTTAGTATAAGAAAATACTGCTGTCTTACTCCTGGTTAGAATGTAGACAGTGAAGAGGTGCAGCTTTCTTTTATTAAATCTCTCTCTCCAATATGGATAAAATGCTTTGATGTTTGATATTCCAATAAATACTAGAAGAGCAAAGTAGGTGGAACTGTGGATGAGACAGGATTAGCTATAGGTTGCTGGTTTACAGACTTGGGTGATGGATATATGTGTCTGTGTGTGTGGGGGGGGGATGTCTTGTGTGAATTATACTATTTGATCTGCTTTTTAAATTAAAAAATTCTTATATGACTTTTTAAATAAGTTAATCCATTTTGGGCTGCAAATAACATTATCCATAGCTGCTTGGGAACATCAACAATGTATTAATCAGTAAACCAATTTCCTATGAGTAGCTGAAAACCTAGACCACATTTGGATCTCTTAAAGCTTTGTACACTGTAAGTTATCAAGAAAACAAAACCATTCTTAAGAAGATACAAATAAATGGGTGCATATTCCGTGCTAACAGATAGGAAGAATTAACTTATTTAAAATGTCCTCACCCAGCCAGCATGGTTCAGTGGTTGAGTGTCAACCTATGTGGATGTCATGGTTCCATTCCCAGTCAGGAGACATGCCCAGATTGCAGTTTCAATCCCCATGTGGGGAGTGCAGGAGGCAGCCAATAAATTATTCTCTCTCATCATTGATATTTCTCTCTTTCCCTCTCCTGTCCTCTCTGAAATCAATAAAAATATATTTTTTAAATGTCCTTACTCTGGCCAGTATTTCTAAGTGGTTAGAGCATTGGCCCCATGCACAGAAGGGTTGCCAGTTTGATTCCACGTTAAGGGCAAGTACGTGGGTTGCAGGTTCCACCACCAGCCCAGGTCAACGGGAAAAATATCCTCAGGTGAGGATTAACAATAGCAAATGTTGTCCATACTACTCAAAGCAATCTATAGGACAAATGCAATCCCTATCAAAATACCAGTGGCATTTTTCACAGAACTAGAACAAATAATCCAAAATTTTATATGGAGTCACAAAATTTTATATGGAGTCCGAGTAGAAACAGCAATCATGAAAAAGAAAAACTAAATTGGAGGTATCACACTGTCTAATAGCAAGCTATTCTACAACTCTATTGTAATCAAAACAGCATGGTACTGGCATAAACAGAAACATAGAATAATGGAACATAATAGAAAGCCCAGAGAGCCCAGAAACAAACCCACACCTAAATCGTCAATTGATCTATGACAAAAGAGACAAGACCAAACAATGGGGTAAAGGCAGTCTTTTCAATAAATGGTGTTGGGAAAACTGGACAGATACATGCAAAAAAAAAAATGAAACTAGACTACCTTCTTACACCATCCTATCTAATAAAAGAGTAATATGCAAATTAAGCATCACTCCACTACACCAAGAGCATGCTCACAAGCCACGCCACAAGCCAATCAGAGCGAGTGTGCAAATTAACCCAACCGTGATGGCTACTGCCATGGAGAAAGCAGGAGGGAGGCTTGGGTTTCCCAGGCAATAGAGAAAGCCAAGCTTTCCGTCTGCCATGGCTGGCCCAGGCCTCTACTTAAGGCTACAAAGTTTCAATTATAGAAGATACATAAATCCCCTGTCGCCATGGAGCAAGCAGAAGTCTTGGTTCTGCTCCAGGCTACAAAGTTTCAATTGTAGAAGGTAAATAAATTCCAGATACCAGGGCCTCCACTTGGGTTGCCAAGTGGTATGGCCAGCCTTCAAATGACCACAGGCCCCTTGCCCAGGCTGCCCTAAGCCCCAAAGAAACTTCCACCCTGATTCGGGACACCCTTCAGGGCAAACCAGCTGGCCCCCATCAGGCCTCTAATATCCTATCTAATAAAAGAGGCAGTTTGACTATCACTCCAACACACAAGATGGCTGCCCCCATGTGGTCAATGATCCTGCCCCCATGTGGACACAAGATGGTCACCACAAGATGGCAGGGAAGGGCAATTGGGGAGACCTTGACTGCAAGGGAAGGCAGTTGGGGGTAATTAAGCCTGCAGGAGAGGGCAGTTAGGAGTGACCATGCCAGCAATGGAGGGAAGTTGGGGGCAAACAGGCTGGCAGGGGAGTGGTTAGGGGGTGATCAGGCTGGTAGGCAGAAGCAGTTAGGGGAAATCAGGAAGGCAGGCAGACGAGCAGTTGGGAGCCAGCAGTCCTGGATTGTGAGAGGGATGTCCGACTGCCTGTTCAGGCCCGATCCCCAGTAGGATTGGGCCTAAACAGGCAGTCAGACATTCCTTGAGGGGTCCCAGAATGGAGACGGCGCAGGCACAAATTTTGTGCACTGGGCTTCTAGTATACAATAATAAACTCAAAATGGATTAAAGACTTAAAATATGAGATCCCAAACCATTTAAACTCCTAAAAGAAAACATAAACAACAAACTCCCTGACATTGCTCTTCAAAGGAAACCATCAATAAAACAGACACCCTACAAAATGGGAGAAGATATTCACCAATGATATAAGGAGTTAATATGCAAAATTTACAAAGAACTCATACAACTTAATACCAAAACAATAAATAACCCAATTAAAAAAAATGGGCAGAGGACTTGAATATACGTTCATCTAAGGAAGACATAAAGATGTCCAATAGACTTATGAAAAGATGCTCAACATCATTAATCATCAGAGAAATGCAAATTAAAACCACAATGAGATATTGCCTCATGCCTGTCAGAATGACCATCATCAATAAATCAATAAACAAGTGTTGGTTAGTCCATGCACTGCAAATTGGAATTGTGGGGTTCATGCAGCCACTATGGAAAACAGTGTGGAGGTTCCCCAGAGAATTGAAAATAGAACTACCTTATGACCCAGCAATTCCACTTCTGAGTATTTAACTGAAGAAATCCAAAGCACGGATTTGAAAAGATATACACATCCCTATGATCATTGCAATGTTATTTACAATAGCCAAGATATGGAAGTAACTCGAATGCCCATCAATAGACAAGTGTATAAAAAAAGCTGTTGTACATATATGCAATAGAAAAGTACTTAGCCATAAAAAAGAATGAAACATTATCATTTGTGATAACATGGATGGACCTTTAGGATATTATTCTAAGAGATATTAGTCAGACACAGAAAGACAAATGCCATATGAATTCCCTTATATGTGGAATCTAAAGAACAAAATAAACGAACAAACAAAACAGAAACAGATGCAGATACAGAAAGCAAACTGAACATTTCCAGATGTAATGATCTAGGGAGGTGAGTGAAAAAGGTGAAAAGATTAAGAAGTACAGACTCACAATTAGAAAATAGTAATGGGAATGTAAATTACAAATTAGGGAACATAGTCAATAATACTGTAATAACTCTGTATGGTGCTAGGTAGGTGCTAGACTTATCAGAAGATCACTTCATAAATTACATAAATGTCTAACCACTATGTGGTACTTCTGAAACTAATATAATATTGAATGTTAACTGTAATTAAAAAAAAAAATAGCCTGACCATTGTGGCTCTGTGGTTGATCGTCAACCCATGAACCAGGAAGTCAAGATTTGATTCCTGGTCAGGGCACATGCCTGGGTTGCGGGCTTGATCCCCAGTGAGGTGTGTGCAGGAGATAGCCAATCAATGATTTTCTTTCATCATTGATGCTTATATATCTCTCCCCCTCTCCCTTCCTCTATAAAATAAATAAAAATATATTTTAAAAGAAAGAAAAAAATATAAAATATAGAAGTTAGAATATAATATGTGTTTATTACACATGGGAAAAATATAAAGGAATATACTCCAAGTTTAATGGCAGTTATCTTAAAATGACTGGATTTCTATTTTCTGGGTTAAATATTTCAAGTTTGAATTGTGTTGCATTTGCAAGAAGAACAAGGAAATATAAAAAAAAAACTTTCCCTTAAAAAAACACACACAAAATTGTTCTTGTCACTGTGCTGCACATACATGCATACATTCATATATACTAAACACACGCAAATATAAATTTAAAAACTTAGTAAGTCTACCAAACTTAGGTACCCATCATCATATTATTTATCTTGATAAGTAAACCAGTGTACATTCAATGAATCTTCAGCATGACTCAGCTCACTGATAAGTATTCTAAAAATCCATAGGATAGAGATAATGTCGGCTTTGCAATTAGAAACCAGCCTTATTTGGGTTCACTGAAACCTTTGTGGTTGTTATCTTGTGTATGCCAGTGTCCAGTTATGAAAGGAGTAGACACACTATGATTGGGTAGCTTAGTCTGATATCGGTTCACTTTCCAAGGGTTAGCTCCTGTTCTGTTCTTCAGTCACAGGTTGTAAATATTCTTGCCTATGGGCACTGACTACAAAGATGCAGGGGAAGGATGAGAGAATGTGAAAGGGCAGCATGGACACAACACTGTCCTAAAAAGCAGCTTAGAGGACACCCCCTGTTCACAGGATATGGGGCATTCATTTTAGAGAAGGCCAGTGTTATTAAAGAAATTTAAGTTTTAGGAATAGAGGGAAAAGGGGGGCAGTGGTTAGTTGTTCTGAGCTATAATATATGGGTAAGTTTTAATACACTGTCGTCTCAAGTTTGGGGCTCTGTTTAGTGAATAAACTTACATTTATTTGTTTATACAGGATTACAGCTTTGAGCATTTTTTTAAATAAAAGATATTACTTAAAACCAGAGATTGCACTAGAGTTTGAGCTTTCACTCTTAAGTTACTTAACCACAAATAGTTTTCAAATAAAAATTTGTTCCAAAATGTCTTTCCAAGGGAAAAAAAACAAAAACAAAAAAACCTTTCCTCAGCAGTTCTTATTGAAGTCTCTCAATTGAGGTCAGTCTAACTATATATCAATATAAAGACTCATATTTCCCAACTTAAATACAAGTCTATCAATTTGATTTGGGAACATATTTTTTGCTGCATTTTGTGGGGGAGGGAGGGGTTGTTGTTAAATGTACTACAACTACACAAGGCTTCCCTGTTATTTGCACTTGATGAGAAGCACCATAAGAAGTGAAACCTTTCATACTGTTGTCTCACCTGTGAATGACTGCAAATAAATCCTCAGTTGTTCGAGGTTTGTTTGGCGATACAAACACACCTTCCCCTTCAGTCTGAGAGTCTTCACTAAGTGGTGAAATCATGGAGTCATCATTTGGTGACAATTCTTAAATGAAGAACAAAAGCATTTTAGGAGGAAGTTACTGCATACTGCTGTGCTTCACTGACTCAGGAACAAATAACCTTACTGACATTTAAAAAATGAGAGCTATATCTGTCACTCCTTTAACCCATCAATAGTAAAAGCTTTTATCTCAATTGTCTTAATTAGGGAAAATAAATAATGGAGGAATCCCAACACACAGGGCTGAAACACATTATGGGGAATATAAGATAGAAAAAATTCAGGAAGTACCATGAGACCCCTTTTCATAGGGACAAACTGACCTTTCAATGAAACCTCATCCATACTTCCTTGGGTCTCCTCTGCTCCGCTGTTATCAGAGGCACTTTTGGCTGAAATACCTGAAGCAATATTTTCCTGCTCTGAACATTTTTCAGGGCATGAATTTACAGTTGATAGCTCTGCTTCATAGCTCATATTCCCAGGCACTTTGTCATAGTAGCGGCTCATCCCAAGTTGATGCTTAAGTTGATTGCTTATGTCTGTGGCTCTAGTTGTTGAATTTGATTGAGATGCGAGCTCATCCACAGACTCAGGATGTACAATGTCCTCCTGTTCTACAGAGGATGCCTTCAGGACCTGTGCAAGGATTCCATCTGGACCAGCTCCATATTGTAGCATTTTACCATCCAAGTTATTTGAGCAGGCAGCAGAGACCCTTTGGAATCCTTCTTTGGGAAAGTCACAGTTTTTACTTGGTGCGTTTTCTGGAATAGACTCACTCTCCATATGCATTTGGTCTTTTGTGGCACTTGAATCTACAAGATTGCTACCAGCTGAGGTTACTTTTTCTGGATCACAATGATTCTTTCCATCAAAAGCACGTTTTTTTCCTAACTGTAGTTTATCTGATCCCATCTCAACTGCAGAGGAGTCTAAAAAGGACAATATGGGTTCTTCAGTGGAGTACTGACGTGATATTGATTTCTTAGCTATATGTGGTCTAATCTTACCTGGAGATGGGGCAGCAATTGTGAGAGTGCTTTGCTCTAAGTAGGGGTGTTCCATATTATTGCCTTCTTTTTGCTTAATTTCTTCAGACTTACTGATGGACCTAAGGTTAACAGATCTCAGGACTGTTGGTGTAATTGCAAGGGATGGTGGAGGATTCGACCTCAGTGTTTCCTCTACTGTGTTCTGCTTATTATGACTAAAAACATGCAATGGGTTACGATGGTGAAATGGTTTATTAAAGACATGAAGAGCACTTAGGTCAAGATGGGTAGGAGGTATAATTGGAAGTTCAAGGTCTTTACTTAGTGATAGAGCTCCATCTTTTAAAGAAGGTTGCTGTAGTGAGGATTTCCTTTCTGGGACTTTCGGTTTTCTTTTGCTACCTCCAGGAGACAATGGACCAGAAAAGAAAGCTGTAGGGAAAGAAGATGTTGGTGTTTCAGACTGGCTTGAGTAGCCACTTGAAGGAGATGCCAAGCCAGCCAGCTTTTCTGGTGAAGCCAGTTTAAACTCATTGTCAACAGAAGGAAGGGATGGAGTGGTGGCTCTTGATTCTGACTGGGATGTTTGGGATTCAGAGCTCTCTGGAGATTTAATGCATTCAATAACTGTGGTACCCGTAGCAGTGCTTGAATTAGATAAAGATCTGTAGGGATCGTTTGTTTTCAAGTCATTTAGAAGCCAGAGGTCTGCATAGTGAGTTGATTCAGCACCTTCATCTTTGAATGGTGGAATATCTGAAGTTTCTAACTGAGGTTCTTTACTATCATGTTCATCCTGGTTAATCCAGGAAGGTTCCTGCTTGGTGGGAATATTGGTATTTTCCATTTGAGAAGGCGTGTTGGAGAAATCAAGAGGCAACTTCATATCCCTGGAACTGTGAGGCAGGACCTGGCCACTGCTAATCTTTGGTTCTTTCTTCTCAGAAATGTCTGCATTTCCATCAGATTTCCTCAATGATGAGCTCCTTTTAGGTGGGGTTGGCTTTGCCTTTGGTTTCCTGAAAGAGATGCTTGGTCTCCCCTGCCTCCTGTGATCTAAGTAGTCCTGCCAAGCACAGTCTGGAAGAGTAGGAGGACCTCCAATGGCCTGGCCATTCTCTGGGCTCAGGGATGCATAGTGGCAGACATAATTCTTACTACCTTTCAGACCACAGTCAAAGTGCATGGAGGTGTAGTATCCTTCTGTGTCCACTGAAAAGTGAGAGCTAGTGTCAGCTTTGTCTGATGGAGACTTTTCCAGAAAGCTGTCATACGTGGCCATGCTTGTGAAGCTTGGACAGCCCAAGCTGTCTGCCTTGGGGCGTTCAGGACTAAAATCATGGTGGCAGGAGGCATCATGATGGTGGTGCAGGTAATTCCACTCACTGTCACTTGTGTTGCTATTATTGGGGTCATCCAGGAGATCTGCCACAGTGGAGGTAAAGGAGTTTGCCCGATGGCCTCTCACTTTATCCAAGTGGTCATTGTACTGCTCTGTCACGAAGACACTGGCATCCTCATTAGCATGAGGAGCTGTGTTTAGTGACAACTCTGAATCACAGTGTGAAGAGCCAGTGAGAGGAGGAGAAGCTGCAGGAGGGATTGTCTCTGAGGTCTGTGAGGGGCATGTAGAGCTGCTCCCACTCCAGTTGCCACTGGATGACTGGTGGTCGTCTTTCTGGTCCATGTGGCTGCTGAGGAGGACACCAGCCGTGGAAATGCAGTGGATGGGGCTCCCAAAGGTGTCTGAGTTGGAAGAGATGTCACAACTTCCAGAGTCAGCAGCCATTCGGGACAGACGTGACCTCCCTCTCTCACTCAACTTGTGCTGGGGGCTGTGAAGATGTTGAGAACAGGCCAGATCCAAAGCAGACTGGTGTTCCTGGGCACTTGGGCTACTGGGGGCCTCACTGCAATCATTAGGGATTCTTTCTTGGTCACCCACGAAAGGCTCTCCCTCTTCATATGCTGAGGATTTAAGACCAACTTTGGGATCACCATCTCCGCCTCTATTGCCCTCTCGGGGAAGGCTCCGAGATCTTGTGCGGCTACTCACTGCAGTTGTAAACATGGCATCACCTTTGTCTGCCAAGGCAGAAATGTTGCCAGCTGAATGTGAAAGAGAAGCTGCAATACTTTGACCCCTTTGAGCTCTGATTCTCCTTCTGGATGGAGCAGCAATCAAAATGTCCTCAGTTTGGCACTCGGAGTCCCTGGTTCCAGACCTCCTATTGACAGCGTTGGAAGGATCTGGATTTGTGTGCACAATCACATTCCTTTCTCTGGCCACGGGCGATTCATCCGAATCTATGGAAAGATTCATGGCACATGGAAAGCTAGTGAGATATTTTATACAACTGCATACTAAAAGACATTTTGAGAGACACCCACAAATGTGGGTGCTGGCATGTGCATGTTGGAGCTTTGTCCTTCAGAAAAAAAAATCAGCATAAAAAATTAGGAGGTCTGGCCATTATGGAATAGTTGGGTTGGAGCATCATCCCATGAACTGAAAGGTTGCTGGTTCAATTGCCACTCAGGGCACTTACTTAAATTGTGGGTTCAATTCCCAGTGAGGGGGAGTATGGGAGGCAACAACCATTGATATTTCTCTCATACATGAATTGTTTTTTTCTTTCTCCCTCCCCCTCTCTCTAAAATCAGTAAAACATATCCTTGGGTGAGGATTAAAATAAAAATAGGAAGTTAAAATGCTTTGGGGACTCTCCTTCTGTCTCTGCCAAAGGAAGGATCTATATCTTTAAATATAGATGTAGATGATTAAATAGATATAGATGATATAGATATAGATATAGATATAGATATAGACACCTATGTAATATATATAGTATATATTTTTCTAAGATAAGATATACTTTTAGATCTTTTGTTAATTCTCTTTCTTCAATATCAAATTACTTTGTCCCAATAAGTGACTATTGTTTTTTCAAACTAAAGTCCATTTTATCTTCTTGGGCACTATTTATTTTTTTATTTTGTAATATAAACATAATTAAATAAAAATAATAGAATTCACTATAACCAAAACCGGTTTGGCTCAGTGGTAGAGTGTCGGTCTGTGGACTGAAAGGTCCCAGGTTTGATTCCAGTCAGGGGCATGTACATTGGTTGCGGGCACATCCCCGGTGGGGGATGTGCAGGAGGCAGCTGGTCAATGTTTCTCTCTCATCAACGTTTCTAGCTCTCTATCTCTCTCCCTTCCTCTCTGTAAAAAATCAATAATATATATATATATTTTTAAAAAGAAGTGCTTCAAAAGAATTCACCATACGAAATAATATTTACAAGAGATGATATAATAAGCCTCTATAATAAAAGCCTAATATGCTAAGTGTCCAACCATTTGTTCGACCAGTCGCTATGACGTGTACTGACCACCAGGAGGCAGATGCTCCAACAGTAGGGCAGCTTGCTGCTAGGATCCGGCCAAATGGGACTGGGAGAGATGAGCTGGACATGCCCTGGAGCCCTCCTGAAGTCCCTCCCAGGCCCTACTGGTGGGGTCCCTTGGTCCTGCCTGTACCCTATTGCAATCTGGAACCCCTCAGGGGATGTCTGCAGGCCAGACCAAGGGACCGGTGCATGAATTTGTGCACAAGGTCTCTAATAATAAAGATATGAAGAAATATCTTAAACACATTGAACAGAAAACAATAGGAAAAATATCATCAAGAATATCGTGTTATCATTATTCAATATTTGAGCATCCTTGAAATTTACCTTTTTAATTATCTTATCTAATAAAAGAGAAACATGCAAATTGACCATATCTCTGCTATGCCCACAAGCCATGCCCACCAGCCAATCAGGAGTGAGTATAAAAATTAACCCAACCAAGATGGAGGTTAATTTGCATATCCAGATGCAGAGTGAAGACTAAAGACAGTGTAGAAGGAAGTCAAGCTCTGGAGAAGGGAGTGAAGCTGCACAGAAGCAAGCAAGAAGGGCAGCAGAGATGACAGGAAAGCAGGTGGGATGGTGGAGAAGGGAGGGAAGCAGGCAAAGCGGCGAAGACTGCCACAGGAAGCCCTATTCTTGCAGGAAACTCCCTGCAATGGGCCTCTAGTTAATGTCATAAAAGTATCTCTTCAAATAAAGGTATATTTTGAAAATGAATCTTCATCGAAACTTGTTATTTTATTTATAACTAGAGGGCTGGTGCATGAAATTCGTGCACAGGGTGTGTCCCTCAGCCCAGCCTGCACCCTTTCCAATATGGGACCTCACTCATAATCCAGGACTACTGGCTCCCAACTACTTGCCTTCCTTCCAGTCTGATAACTCCCTATCCACTCTCCTGCTAGCCTGATTGATGCCTAACTGCTCCCTTGCCAACCTGATTGTCCCTAACTGCCCTCCCCTGCAGGCCTGGGTTCACCCCAACTGCCCTTCCCTGCCGACCTGGTCCCAACTGTCCTCCCCTGCTGGCCTGATTGCCCACAACTGCCCTCCCTTGCAGGCCTGGTCCCTCTCAGCTACCCTCCGCTGCTGGCCATCTTGTGGTGGCCATCTTGTGTCCATATGGGGGCAGCCATCTTGTGTGTTGGAGTGATGGTCAATTTGCATATTACTCTTTTATTAGAAAGGATAGAGGCCTGGTGCACAGGTGGGGGCCAGCTCATTTGCCATGAAGATGTCCCGGATCATGGTGGGGGTTTTCTTGGGGTGTGGGCAGCCTAGGTGAGTAGCCTTGAGAGGAGGCCAGGGCCAGGCTGGAAGCTTGGTTTCCTCCATCACCAGGGAAACCCAAGCCTACTGCTCGTTCCAAGCCATCTTGGTTGGGTTAACTTGCATACTTGCTTCTGATTGGCTTGTGGGCATAGCAGAGGTATAGTCAATTTGCATGTTTTTCTCTTATTAGTGTAGATTTCTAATTTAATAAATATTTTAAAAGTAGCAAAACTGACTGAAATATAATACCTGCATGTATATGCCTAAATCTCTAAGGTTAAACCTTCTCAGTCAAAAACAGAGACTTAAAATGCCATACCATCTGGCTTGCTGAACAAAGGACAAATATATATCTTTTCAAAACCTCTACAAGTTACAGGGTTGACTTTTTCAAAGGAAGCTGGTTAAAAGTTAGGTGGTTTCTGCGCCCAACAGAATGTTAACAATTAATAGTTTTATACCACACCTATTTCTTGTTGGACTCTTCTGGGGATACCAGAGATGGTTTTCCTCCTCCTCAGTTTTCGTCTCCGCTGTAGTACAGATTGTGAATGAACAAGAGAGCAGCGTATACTAGCTTCTCTGTCAAAACCAACTCCTGCAACCCATAAATAAATCTCATTAGCCTTTTAAAATTGCAAACACATTTTCATTTGCTTGGAACACAGTGACATTTATTGAAGTAAAGGAAGGATTTGAATTAAGCTGTAAAAAAATATAAGGGAGCCCTAATTCAGCTCTTATTTAAATTATGCTGCGGTACATTAAGCTTTACTCCTGAATGCAGCTCTCCACAACAGGTTGAACTGCCAAAATTAACAATAAAAGAAAGAAAATAAAAAGCAATAGGAGAGAAAAATAACATCAAAGAATAACCCTCACATAGAAATGATGCCTTAAGGACTTAAACCTTTAGCTACTACTATTTACAGGTCTCTTTCTGGGCTATCTGAAGCTGATATCTATACATAGTAAATTTAGAGCCAAGATGTTAACCCAAATTAGTTCAGCTAACATATTCTGACCCATCTCTTCATTAAATGCATCTTTGTATTTCTCCTCTGTACCTACTATTCCCACCCCTAAAATACACACATGCTGGGAGGAAACAACAGTCTAGAGTTTTGTTTTTTAAATCATCATGTATAGTATATCAACATATGTGTAACTCTATCTATTGAAAAAAAAAATCCGCATCATTAACTGGTACACCTAGTAACTGTCTACTTTCTTCTACTGACTAAAATGGGCACTCTTTTGTTTAGCACCAGTGTCTTATCACTATATAATAAAATACAACGCAGTCCCCAGTCTTGATCAACTATAAATAAAGCTGGAATTCCCTTACACAATGTGTCTGTTTGCTCTAGTAAATACAGGGGGCAGACCATGATACCTATTAGTTTCTCTCTCCATAGTCACGTTATTGACACAGTATATGCATTCCTATGCAATCTAGAATGCTGAGGAAGGAGGTAAACGTAAACTCCTCTGGCACAGGCATGCACCATAGATTTTTCAGATTGAGCTTTGCCTCAGGAAGCCTTGATAACAAAAATGCTTTGGAATCTGATTTTCTCATCATTTATCCTGTTTATTGAATATGGGGCAGGATGGCATGTTAAACCTTGTGGCGCTATATAATGAAGCAGTTTGAGTTTTGCTTAGCATCTCAGTGAGAACAGTTTCTAGAACTCACTTTGAAAAATCTGTATGTTATATCACATAATGAATAATTACAATATTATTGGAGAATTTGTACTAATGGAATTTTTATTTCTTAATTCCAAACAAAAATTAAAATCCTTCATTCTAATCATAATAATTATAGAACACGTAGCATACAGACTCAGACACTTTTTCTTATATAGGCATAATCAACAACTTGCTCATTAACGCTCTTGAAATTAACAGATAATCTAGGCTTTAGTCTAAGCATTCCTGAAATAAAGCAGAAGGAAAGAAAGATCTTTCCCTTTCCTGAATCACAAGACCCATAATCAAAGAACTAAATTTGAAAACAAGATTTTACTTACAGTGCCATGAAGAAAGCAGGTGCTGCTAATAATCAGATGTCCCCAGAACTGAAAGTTAGTTTATCAGGATGCCAAAGTGATCCATTTGACAGCTGAACTCCCCTAATCCATCCCATTTAGATCATGGGGATCAGATAAGGTATACATTCTGAGAATAATTTCTTCTATAAGTTGAATAGGTCATGAAGAAAATGAACCACCAGCTCACAGCCAGCTGACCAACTAGATCTCCTTTTTTTCCAAGAAGGAAATAACTATGCCAGATACAAGGTTATCATTTGATTCCCACTTTATGAGAGAGAAATTTGAATGGGGTTAATAGCTATGACCAAATTGCATCTCACATAACATGCAATTTGTAGTCATTTGGTATAAGGATGAAAAAAATCAGTCATAATATGGCCATTTTGAAATTTTCAATATATAAATAAGTTAAAATATGACTATTAAAGAAGCTTTAAGAAAGCCCAATAAATAGATCACTTAATTCCCATCTTTGAAAGTTAGAATATTTTATAACATTATTTTACTTACAAAGATTACCAGATCCAATTCTGGAATTTGCAATTGCTGCCAATAAACTTTCCCAGAAAAGCCTGGACAGGCTTGCGTTCCACCTAAACTAATATTCACACTCTCAATACACAAAAGGAGGAAAACAGAGTGCACAGAAGACAGGCTTTCTGGCTTCAGAGTAGAATTCGGCTTTCATCTATGAATCCATCTATTTTTAGGTCAAAAATCCCTAAAATCGCTTCAGAATTCTAAACAATCTTTTAAGCAAGCCTATCTTCATCCAAGGAAGCATGCAAACAGATTTTATGCTTGGTCTACAGGATCATTACTTGCAGTTTTAGGAACCCATGGTTTTCTGTTTTTTTGTGAGTTTTTTTCTTGCTGTGCCATGCATCATTATCATATGATTAATCACTGCCGCTTTCTCCATTATTTCAGTCAGCTATGGCCAAAGAGCTATTTGGTGAATTTTTTGTTTCCAAAAAGAAACTGTCCATCATTTACATAACAAGTGGCCCAGTGAAACATATGCAAATTGATGTTCAAAGCCTGACAAAAGCATACTGAACATCTTCTGAGTTGTATTCTGATAAAAAGGTATTACTTGGTTACAAAGCAGTATTCTTAATTAGTACCCACAGCAGCACAGGTTTTGAACATCTTTTCTACACAGAATATTCTGACCCAATTGCCCCTAAGAAAAGAACAGAACAATACCAGTGACATTGATGGGAATGATGCAAGAAGAAATCACTTGAGCATCTTGTTTCATCTTCTCCTCTGGCGTCGGGAGAGGTAGTGCTTTGCTCCAGTTGGTCTGCTTGTCCAGTGTGGAGGGGATATTGTGTACTGGGTTTTTCGGCCTCTGTCCTAACATGGCATCTGTATCTTCATCCTCCGGGGGATGGGACTGCAAAGGTAGTACATTGGGACTCAACCATCAGCGTTTATATATAACACACATATAAGGAATTTCACAGTTTAGTTAAGAAAGATTTGGTCAGAAATAAGCTTTTAGGTCTAAGGAAGAATTCCTATAAATAGTAAACACAGCTAATTGAAAGTTCTAATTTGAATAATAAAGTGACACAAGAGGAAAAAGTAAGTTAAATAAATATGTTTTTCAGGTCTAATGGAATTTTACCAGAAATCCCTAAACTTCAATCTAAAGAAAAATGTCTTTAATGCAGTAAGAGGTAGAGCCACTTTCTCGATATCCATCTTGCCATAAATTCCTATTGAAATTCTTGAGAGCTCTAGATGCTTAGGATCAAAGGGAAGAGATGATTTGGATGCCTATTAAACATTTTTTTTTTTTTTTTTTTTTTTTTTTTTTTTTTTTTTTTTTACCTATTAAACATTTTTGAAAATGTGCCAAAAAAATCAGGAGACATTCCAGAACACATCATCTGAAGGACAAAAACCACCTAATCTGAGAGACCGGATTAAAACACAAGGAGTTATTTTACTCCAGGACTATGAAGTTTGTGAATAACATTTAAAAAATACTGTATGCCCATGGAAAAGCAAAAGGGAAGAATCTCCCACCAATCTATAGTGAAAATATGAATAATGTTGGGGGAATTTAAATGAATTTCTTTTTCAAATCTGGAAGAATAAAACAGTCCATATTTATTATCTTTCATCTTTACAGTGCTAAGCTTTTCTTCTAGCTGTGTAGTTAGAAGCCTTGACTTATATAGGACATTATATAGGACATTTGAAAATTCTCCATCCAAACCTTTGATAGATATTAATATTGTCTGACTTTGATTTCAGGTTTGGGTTCCTAGCCCAGATTATTAAAAAAAAAAAAAGGCTCCATCCCAATTTTGATTTCAGATTATTAAAAGACTTAGTTTCCATTACTGAAACTTGTTTTATTTCGTTCCATTATTTAGAGGAAGGCAGACTTTGTAGGAAAAAAATAATAATTTTCCTTTTGTTCTAGTTTGATTTTAATAATATTCTATCCTAAAGTCAGGGCCATTAAAATTTTTTCTCATCTTCATATTTGGAAGCCTTATGCCCTGTTGACTCAGAGGATTTCACATATTGCCAAATAAACTGTTCTTAAGTCCCCTTAAAGAGAAGGTTCTAGAGCCGGTTGTTTAAATTAACCCCCAACATTTGCTTACCTTGTCATAGGTATCTTCAATGCCCCCTAATACACTCAACAGGATATGATCCCCCCTTTGAGAAAAATTTGTTTGCCATGAATGTTTTAGTAAAAACATTGCAACCTTCTTTTTCCCTTCAGCTTTTGTGCAGACTCCCAGGGAAGCGAATAGCTCAAATAAAGTTGGAGCACAAAAGACTGTTTCCTAGGTAACTTCCAAAAAGAAAAAAAAAAGTTTGGTGCATGCAAAAAGAGAGACAGAAAGAGAGAGCGAGCACAAGAGCTGGGGAGAAACCCCCACCACCAATGGCCACATTTTGTAGGTGATTCCTTCCTTGAATAACAATGGGCTGAGAAACAAAGAAAGAATAGTGACCTGACTACAGGCTCTGACCAGCAGACAAAAGCACTTTTCATTTAATGGTGACAGGGACAATTGACTGCTAGAGAATCCTTTTGCCCTGTTGTCTTTTTTTAAAATTATTATTTGAGAAGATGAACCTTTACAGTTTTGATAAATACAAGACAAACCTTTATAGTTTTGATAAATATAAGGCAAGTGGAAATTCTTTCCTCTGAACTACAAAGTCCAGGAGTAGTGTTAGATGATGCTCTTGTTGAACAGAGCCTTATTTGCAACTTAGGTGTGTGTGTGTGTGTGTGTGTGTGTGTGTGTGTGTGTGTGTGTAGGGGGAAGTAAATGGGAAGAAAAGCCAATGAATGGCATGGCTGTCTAAGTTATATTTTAATTCAAGTTAGGAAAATACCCATTCTTTAAATTGATTTAAAAGAATATCTGTGCTAATTAGAAACAACAGAGTTTGCCATAAAGAGAAGAAAGTGAAAGTGCCTGGAGAGAGTGAAGTAGGGTGCAATGGAATGTTTTGAGAACCAGTACCTTTCTACTCCATGGGGTCATGTGGCAACACTCAGTGGGGGAGGGCGAACGGGTGCTGTTAAACTATGAACATGAAATGCAAAAAAAAGAAAAAAAAATTAAAACATGCACACAACACACTGTATACCCTGGTTAAGACAAATATATGATATTAATGAATGAATGTAATGGGATGACATTTTCCTTTTTCCTTCCTTCCTTCATTTTTATTTTATGAGAAGTAGCGTAAATTGTGCTTAAGAGCACAGACTCTGGAGCTAGACCAAGTTCAAATCCTGGCTCTATCACTTATTCGCTATGTAACTGGAACAAATACTCAACTCTTCTTTTTAAAAAAATATATATATTTTATTTCTTTTTTACAGAGAGGAAGAGAGAGGGATAGAGAGTTAGAAACATCGATGAGAGAGAAATATTGATCAGCTGCCTCTTGCACACCCCCTACTGGGGATGTGCCTACAACCAAGGTAAGTGCCCTTAACCGGAATCGAACCTGGGACTCTTCAGTCTACAGGCTGACACTCTATCTGCTGAGCCAAACCGGTTTCGGCCAATTACTCAACTCTTCTAAGGTCAGTTTCCTCATCTGTAGGGTATAAAAATAATAGATTCTACCTTCCAGGACTGTTTTGAGGATTAAACGAGTAAATATCACAAAAGACTTAAAAAAGTCCTGGCACATAATAAACTCTATATGTTAGCATCAGCTACTACTATCACTATTATTATTAGCCCTACTTTGCAGCTGTAAAGATCTGTGAAATTGTTTTTGTAAATTGTAACTTTAATTTTCTATCTTTCAGATACCAATCCCATTTGCTAATTGGGAAAAGAATGAATTATTATCTTTCCTTGGAGTGAGTTTATTTTCCTATGAACTACTTGGAAGAAAATTTCCTGTGGAAAAAGCCCTCTTCTGGACTGTTCAGAAATTGTCTCTTGCTCATATTCATTGACTGTATTTGATGACAGGGACAGTTTTATGGGCATGTGACCTGTGCAGTCACACAGGACCCCGCACTGAGAAGGACTTCACACGTCACTGTCTTGAAATTCTTAGTTTTTGAGTTAGGGGCCTACATTTTCATTTTGCACTGGGACCCGGAAATTATGTAGCTGATCTTGTTTGGAGACTAATCTGGTAACCAGAATCCACTTTTCAGTATCTACTAAGACATTAGAACTCTTTTAAAATTCTAAACCATGCCAGCGTTGGGTTCAATTGGACTTCTATTACAGCATTTTCCATGTGGCATGACTTTAATGTAACATGAATTATCCCTGGTGTGTCTTTTTTTCATTTATTAAGTTGAAAATTTCTAGAGGTCAGGAGCTATATTTCATTTTCCTTTCAGGCTTTCATGATGCCAACAAAATGCCTCCTCATTGTGAGAGCTCTAACAAACTATTTGTAAACTTGAATGATACCAGTTCTGCGCTTTTTAACAGTGATAGGAAACCAAAATAAAGTAAGAGTCATACTCAAAATCTCAGGAGAAAGCAGGTGCCACAAATTCCAAGAGAACTTACCATCTTAGTGCAAATAGGTGAAAACAAACAGAGGAAACCACAAGCAACTCTTGGTTCCACTGGTGTCATGGTACTGACAAATGCTGGTTCTAGTTATTCTTAAGCCATTGGCATGTATGCATTGTTGTCGATTAGTTTTTAAGCATAGCAAACGCCATCTCCTCAGGCATAGTTAATTTTGATCTATATATTATTTAAGACAAATGATTTTGTAGGGTCTATCTATGGCTTCCCCACTGAAAGTGATCATTTTGATAGATATGGCATATGTGGCCTGAGTTCAGACACTTAATCTGGCTCTCTCATAAGAAGCAGTCACAGATAATGATGTGCAGGTCTCAAGTAAGACACTGGGGTATACAAATAGAGGGAAAACTCATGGAAATAAGAAAAAAAGGAGCCTGACACCAAAACCTACATGGTAAAGGAATTTGTTTCCAAGAAACCAAAGGCTTTGGTGTCTCATGAAAGTATTTCAAAAAGTAAAACAGCAGGAAACTGCTTGGCAGAAAACTGTTAACTGAGCGGGACTTATAAATATGTCAAACATAAACAATATCGGGAACGGGTAGGACGTATGAATACATCCTTGAAATATATGTTGCGCCTCGAGAGGGACAGTATATATTTTTTGTAATCTTTTTAAAAAAATATTTTATTGATTTTTTACAGAGAGGAAGGAAAGGGGAGGGATAAAGGGTTAGAAATATCGATGAGAAGAGAGAGAAACATCGATCAGCTGCCTCTTGCACACCCCCCACTGGGGATGTGCCGGCAACCAAGGTACATGCCCTTGACCGGAATCGAACCTGGGACCTTTAGGTCCGAAGGCCGACGCTCTATCCACTGAGCCAAACCAGTTTCGGCTATTTTTTTGTAATCTTTATCATTGTTTGTAAAATTTATAATTTTTAAATTCGACGTGTCCATTTTTTTTGTTGGTATTCTTTTTTTTTGTAATTTTGTATTTTCCTTTGTGCTTTATAGATATAAATAAATGAAAAAAATATATATATATATATTTCATTTATTTTCATTAAGTATAAATTTAAAAAAATATATGAAATTATGTCCTCCAGGCGTGACGTACTGACACGTCCTAGTGAAAGAGTACTCACCGGTTACAGGTTGTGTCATTAAAAAGGGAACTCCCCGGTTAACAGGTTAATGATATTAATATATTAACTTTGGTAACTTGTCTTATATCTCCTAAGTCACTTCTGTTATTTTTTTTCAGGAATGAGAGATAAGGAGTAATTTTTTTTATCTGTTTGAGAAATCCCCAGTCCCATTAAACAAGCATGAGGTAACACCTGGAAATAACTAAAAATAGTCCAGAGAGAGACTGCTCAGACTATTCAGTTTGGGTCACGAATATTAAGTCAAGGTCTCTGTGCGTTACACTCCACAGAATATTCCTTTTTAACTAATCATTCTCTTGATACTGACTCCAACCTCTTGCTTGTGAGGGATGAAATTAGGTGCTCTTGAGCTTGTCTGTGGAAGGATTTGTTCTTTGGTTCTACCACCTAGACACAAGCACTTGAATCCCTGCAGATAGTCAGTTGATTCAGAGTATTTTGATTTATAATATCCAAATAGGCTATGTTTTTATTTCTGCCATGAATTAGTAACTATGTTAGTATAGTGTTTTAAAGAAACATCTTTTCTAGGTGTTTGGTCAAAGGAGGTAAAATTGTTCTGATTAGAATTTTATGTGATGAATGCAATAATCAGTTCATAGATTTTTTTCCTAAATTATCTAGAAATAAAACTGCAAAATAACTGATACCTCAGGCATCTCTGCATGGCTCAGTATGCCACTCCTTAATGGGTACAGATGGATCAGGTTAGGAAAAGCTGCGTGATCATACTTGTATACTGCAGTAAAATATTCTTTAAAGGCTCCTTTTAAATGAATCTTATTGCTTATTCTGGGTAAGACTTTTAAGGGTAGGAACCATTTCTTGTTCATAACTGTGTTTCATAACTGAGCCTCCATAATGTTCAATGAATATTTGTTGTACTGCTAGCACCCCCGTGTTACACAAGCAAAACAATCCTCTCTAAAGGTATAATATCAAATTATGTCCACATATGATTGTTCAGCACAGCATTGTCAAAGTGAAAGATAATAAGGTAAAGGAGGAGACGAGAGAGCATGAGCAAGAAACATACCAAACAACAAATTATAGAAGCAGACCCAAAGTAACTCCTGCTTTAGAATTATTACTCCATGCAGGAATAGCAGTGAACCACCTTGACTTCCCCAGAATAAGTGTGTGGAAAGATTGTTAGACCATTCATTCATTCATTCATTCATTCATTCATTCAAGAGCATTTCTTTGATGAGAGTAAAAATCAGCCCCAATGGAACAAATAAATTAAAAATAATATTTCTCTCATGAGTATAGGCATATTCACTGCATAATTATTAAATAAATATAAATAATTATGCAGTGAGCATGCATATACTAATTATGCAGTGAGTATAAATAATTAAATTCATTGCATAATCATTTAGATTTTTTTTTTCTGTACTTTTGAAAATTTTCATAATGAGATGTTGGAGAAAAAGATTTCTCCTTTCTTTTCCAGGCTTCCATTCTGACCTTCCTAACACTGATTTTGAGAAGCCTTAGACTTTAAGTTGCACCATTTTAGAATCAGCCACTACCAGTTATGCCCATCTTGTCCCTGACAAAAGATAATTCTTTGATGCTTTCATCCTATTCTTGTCCCTTTTGGCCTATCAGTTATACTCTCAAATCCTTTCCCTACCTTCTCATAAATCTGCTTCAACAAAAGCTAGTTACAGTTATGGTGGGTGTTCAAAACAAGACATAATAGACATTATACTCAAAAGCAGTCTAAGACATTTCTTTGGTGAGTAACAAGATACATTTTCCAAACCCCAATATTTCTAATGTTGTGTATAAGAAAAGTTCATTTCTTCACTTTTTGTGGCTATTTCTCCAAAGACCTCAAGATTTTCCCAGTCCTTTCTCTTACTGCCAAAACAAAAAACCATCCCTCCACATTTTACTTTTTTTGTTTTATTTTATATACTGATGGGTTTTATTTTGTTTCAGAACTTTCCAAAAGACATCTGTTAAAATGTTGTGGGTATTCCAGCAGGAAATGTTTTGAAAAATTGGCTTTGGCTTGTGATCTAACTGATACCACATGGCACTTATAGCAGTTGACTTTCAGAACTGATTTATTACTATCATGCTGTTTTAAACATGAAAATTATTTACTTGAGAATGGATGTTGTGCAAGAAAGCCCACTGCATGGGAGAACATGTTTGCAAATGTTATTAAATCTAGTAATAATTAATGTTGTTTTCTAATACTTTTTTAAATCGAATTTATTTAAACAATACAACAAAATTTAATCAACAATATAGTTGCCGTTGTTTTCTACTACTTGTGCCCAATGCTCAGGAAGCATTTCAATCCCTCTGTTGTAAAATTCTTGTGATTTTGATGCAAAAAAATTCGGTCAATGCATTTTTGAGGCATTCTTCATT